TGAGAGAAATAAATAATACAATCATATAGTTCACTGAAAATGAACCTTTGATAATAATGGGATGTAAAAGTCGTTCTTTATTAAATTATAGCTATAAATTTGAATTAAAAAGGTATAGGTTTTCGAAATGTGATTAAATATAAATTTAAATCATATTTTTTAAATTAACTATGATTAAATTTAAATCTATTGTTTTTTTTATGTTTTAATCACATTTCTAGGAAATAAAATAAAATTCTTCCTATGAAAAATATGACTAAATAAGTGATTTTTAGTCACCATTGCAAATGATTTTAATTGATAGTAATATTTTAAAAAAGTAGGTGTAAGTAGAAGTATCATTTATTAATTTGTAAATAGATCAATAATTGAGGGGCTGAAGTACTTTTTCTCATTGTCATCAATATGAGCTCGGCCGCACTAGCAAGAGCAACTAACAAATATATAATTTGGATACTCTTCAATCTCAAAATAAATAAATAAATAAATAAATAAAATAAAAAAATCATTGTCACAATTTTGAAAAGTATAATTAATAAAGTATAAAAATATTTGTAACAAAAAAATGATTCATTCAATCATATATATATATTTTAAAAAGCATTAAAATTTTCAATCATACCATCAATATTCATACTTTCTTATGATTATTTTATTATTTTATTCATATTGCATTATATATTATATGACCAAAAAAGTAATATTTTGCTTTGTTACATCATAAGAAAGTATATATATATATATTGCAAATTTGTATTATTTATTATATTTTTATATAAGTAGTTTTCTTTTTTTTTTTCAGATTTTAATTATAATTTCTATTTAGCTCTTTATTTTTTAATATTTTCAAAAAAATTATGAGTTAGAAAGTTACTTGTACAACTTTTAAAAATATTCCTTTCCCCACAATAGCTTTATAATAATCTTTACAAAAAGTCACAATTGTCCCCGATAGAAAGTTTATATAAAATTGAAATATGACTTAATTTTTTTATCATTTCTTCGACCTCCCACAGAACGGACCCCCTTCACGCCAAGTAAAAATGTCGGTCAAATATTTTGCTAATTTTCTTGTCAGAATGAATTCAATTATAAAATTTATTATATATAACTTTAATTTTATGAGTCATAGAATATTTTTAATATAATTAAATTACTAAATGATATAACTTATAGTTGAACAAAAACTCTTGACAAAAAAAATCAAATAACATAAAAATGATTCAACTAAGTAAAACATGCTGAGCATTTGAAATATAATTAGTAATTTTGGGACATTAATTAAATAATTAATTAGTCTTGCGTAGCTGCAAATAATAATGATGGAGAAGCTTTGAAGGAGGATGACATTGGCAAAATGGAAGTTGATTTCTCCCTAGGTTGTTCTACCCTTTCAAGTTCAAACTTGATTTCTTTCCTCTGGGAATTAGGGCTTTGCCCTAATTTCCTCCTGGCGGCCGCCTCCGCCCGGTGTGCTTCGTGCGTCCTTCGAGCGCTAGGGAAATTTCTTCTTTCTTTTGTTTCTGTGCTTTTAATTTTATGGCTTCTTCTCGACTTCGCGATCCTGGTTTTTTACCTGGCTCTTCGCCTCTTTCGTTTAAAGATGCGCTCTCTGGTTCATCTTCCGCATCTGTTGGTTTTTCTGAACTTAAAGTTTCTTCGTTTAGAGGCATGCCTTCCTTGTGGATTTCGGAGATGGAAATCAAATCCCTGGCTGCCCCGTTTGAATTTGCTCTTGTAGGGAAATTTCCTGCCCGACGGCCCTCTTTGGATGCCATTAGAAAATTTTTCTTTAATCTAAAGCTTAATGGGGATGTTTCTGTTACTGTTCTTAATCAGCGAAATGTATTGATTAAGCTCTTCAATGATTTGGATTATTATAGTATTTTGCTCATCGATCTTACTTCGTTAACAACTGTTATATGAAACTGATTAAGTGATCTCCTACCTTAGATGTGGAAATCGAATCCCCAGTTATTCTCATCTGGATTTCTTTTCCAAACCTTAGGCCTCATCTATATGCTCCGCAAATTCTTCATGGCCTTGGAATGATTTTTGGCAAACCTTTAAAAACTGATAATGCTACCTCTACTGGTTCCCGCCCATCTGTTGCGAGAGTGTTGGTTGAAATTGATGTGTCCAAACAATTTCTATCCGGTGCGTAGGGTGAAGTTCCATTTTTGGGTGTCGAGGCTTCGTGTATACCTGTTGTGACTGTGGACATTAATGCTGAGTGTGTGCGGGTGGATACTATGAATGGAAATTCGGTGTGTTCTAATACTCTTGTTGATGCCCCTGTAAACTTGGTCGACACGCATACTATGGTCAATCGTTTGGGTGTTAATTCTTTTTGATATTAGGAACCATGTGGATTGGCTGCATGGTTCGTTTGAATTTGAATCTGAATCTGAATTTTTGAATTGTGGTTTGGCTTCTCCGGATTTATGCGGTGGATCAGACCCTGGAAATGATTTTACTCTGGTTCGTGATAGACCTGTTATCTCGGTTGCCTCTCATGGGAGACTTCGTGGGAGGGGCCGGAGAAGAAGATAATTTATCTGTGTACTGTATTCTTTCCCTGTGTTTTTTCGGGATTGACTTTCTGTTCATTGGGTTGGTTGGTGGTGCACTGGTTTATGGGGCAATGATGTGGCTGAGGCTCGTGTCCTTGTCGTCTTGCTGGTGGCAACCTTTGGTGTTGTTCTTAGAGTTGGTTGGAAATTGGGCGCTTTCTTCATCTTATTGGATGGTCCGTGCGAGGCTTCGGGGTTGTTGGGAGCCTCGGCCGATCACTGAGCCCTCTTTTGGTTGTTTTTTCCTTCTTTCTCTTTATTTTTTGTTTAATTGTTGTTGTAAAAAAAAAAGTTCATTGTTGTTACATTGCCAAGAAAGTAGAAATCTGACATAGGACTGTGTAAAATTTATAAAATTTCTCGTATTTACAGGAACCTTGAGAGAAATAGTTATCACCGGCGTTATTTCAGATGCACTAAAAATGACAAATGAATAGACTGATCAATTACAATAGTGCCTAAAATGTTAAATTGAAAGGCCATTCGGGGTTGTTATCAGGGTTGCCCTATTTTTATATTTATTTTTCATAGAATTGATGTAATAATAAATGATTGGAGGGAATAATTTTCTAATTATAGTCATGATAGGATGATTTTTGTAATTTTGTTGAATCTTGTTGTTTCTTCTTGGGATTTGGCGGCTTTACTGTTTGATTTGCTGCTACGTCAGGCTTTGGGCTATGATGTGGTTGGGGTTAGCGTCCTGGTCCTTCTTTGCTGGTGGCAACCTTTTTCTCGGGGTGCTTTCTTCGCTTACTGTCGGGCCCGTGCGGGTCGCACTGGACGCTGATAGCTTTGATTTAGTTCTGAGCTCGTTTTTAGTTTCTACTTCTCTCTGTTGTCTATTTTTTTACCTGCTAGCTTTTCTTTTTATGCTGTTGTAACCTTTGTTGTTGTGTTATTAATATATTTCCTTAAAAAAAAAAAGGAGTTATCTAATTATCCTTTTGAGATTGTAATTGAGTTTGCTCGTTAATCCTGACTTATTTCTTTCAAAATTTGATGATTCCAAGAATGGCGAAGAGATTGTGCTACTACAACTATGTCTAATGTATTGATATTAACAACATCTCAAGATTTTAGCAAGGGTTGCTTGCCATCCAAGAATTACTTCACATGGATGGCATTAAATTGTTCCATGTTTACAAACTTATGGCGATAAATAAAGAATTTTATGTTTTAGTATTATACATACATTTCACACATGCACAAACACAAGAAAAATACATAAGATACACAAGATTTTTTAGTGAAAAAGAAGATAATAGTGAGACTTAGCTCAAATGAAATGATCCACAATGTACATGGAGATGACAAATATGTGAGCTTCACATCAATTGAAGAAGATGAGATTACAAAATTTAGAAATGCCTCGATCTCTTGTGGTTGTGGCTAAGAATATGGGGGAAGTATTAAATGGGGATGGCAGTGGTCGAACAATATTAATTGGGTGTTGATGGCTTGATGGCAATAGTTGTATTAGCAAATCAATTGAGTGTGGTTTGACAATGATGAATTAACTATGATACTTGTTGGATGAATAATGATAGTCAATGACAATCAAACTTTGATGGCTATTAATAGTAATCATTGACGACAAATATCGGATAGAGCTAGGTTTTTTAAATCTCTAAGATCTCTCCATATTTTAGTATGGGTTCATGCTAATATAATGAATGTAAGTGTATTTATAGTTTTAAAGATTTGCATTTTGATAAATCTAGCTATAATTCATAATATTTTATCGGATAATCCATATTGATTCTTTTAATTATAAACCAATTATTTTGCGTGTAAAGATTCATTTGAGACGTCTTTTTTATGGCTTCCTAAAGCAGAATTCTAATAAAAAAACTTTTAAAATTTTCTATTAAAAAGCTGCTTTAAAAATAGCAAGAAAGCAGTATTAAACGAAACCTAAGTGTCTTAATTATTTTAGAATTGAGCGGTCTTTGATGCCTTAGTTTTTTTTCTCATAGAGATGCTTGTTATGAATATAAATGTGCAAAAATATGATGTTGCAAGGGCCAATCATACTTTAAGTGTGATTTTTTCTCTTGTTGATTTAAATTATCAAATTTTTGGTTGAGCTCGTCTTATTAAATCATTCAGTTTAACTATAAATTTTTTAAAAATAGAATTTAAATAATCATAAATTTAATTCATAACATTTGTAATCAAAGACATATAAAGATTGTTACATATTTAATTAAATTTTTTGGTGAATATATATATAAATGATCAATTTTTTGGTGACCGCAGTCACGAGCGCGTCGGTCGCTGCCCATTTGCGTCACGTTTGAGTCGGCCGCGAACCTTGCCGCTTCGCATGTGCCGACTCGCCCGCTGGCGCGCCGCGATGGGGAAGACGGCGGGTAGGCCCCGTGGGCCATACCGGATTTTGGGCTTCGGGTGGGCCCTCCGAACGTCGATTCTCCTCCAAACTATAAGTAGCCCCTCGGGTTTCGCCATTTCCTACATCGGTAACCGATCAAAGGTTTCTTTCTCTCAGTTTCGTGTTCATCAAGGTTGAATCTTTAATCGCCAAGGAATCAGAATCAGGGATGACGAACCAGAATGTGGTAGTGCCGGACACTATTGGCATAGCTATACCGGCTGTTACCAATTCAACTCCTCTGTTTCCTTACCCGCTGCCGAAGGCCGCGAGCAGCGGCTTCTCCGTTCGCCGAAAGTTTCTCCCGCATCTGGAACTAGGCAGCAACGCGAGTAGGCTTAATGTGTGGGTTGATTCCATGAAAGCCTCCTCTCCGACCCACGCGAAGGCGTCGGCGGCGCTAGCCGCCTCTCACTCGGACACTGGCCCAACCTGGATGGTGAGCGATTGGAATTCTCTAATCTTGCTCTGCTCTTTTTCTTTTTCTTCCTCTTCTTCTCAAAATGATTTGTCGGTTTTTAGATGAGGCAGCCCTCGGCGCTGAGCATGTTCGGGGAGATCACGAGAGCATCGAAAGGAAAGCAGATCGTTATGTTCCTCGACTACGACGGCACTCTCTCTCCCATCGTCGACGACCCTGACCGCGCCTTCATGTCTGACGCGGTTGGTTTCTTGAAGCACTGGGCTCAAGATTGGATTTTTACATTATTTGCCTTGTGAGATCTCGAAATTAGTTTCATTGAGGGGATAAAGCTGGGATTTTTTTTAGTTATGAATTATTTTGTTTATTTAGATGAGAGATGCAGTGAGAGATGTGGCGAGGTACTTTCCGACGGCGATTGTTAGCGGGAGGTGCCTTGACAAGGTACATTTTGCTCTGTTTCCTCCATTAACAGAGCTTATTTTGCCTTTCTCAATGCTGAAAGACTCTGCTTTGGCGTGGCAAGGTGTACAACTTTGTGAAGTTGGCAGAGCTCTGCTACGCTGGTAGTCATGGGATGGACATAAAAGTCCCAGCAAACAGGCCCAGCTTCATGAAAGCTAATGTGGGTTATCTCTTTTTTTTTAGAGAAATTTTTGTTCAGAAAATTAGTTTTTTGTTGATTTCAAATGATTTCTTTTCTGCTTATCCTTTCTTCAATCAATTCTGTGGGTCAGGCCAAGGCAGTTCTATGCCAACCAGCAAGCAAGTACCTTCCCATGATTGGTAAGGTAGGTTTTATCTCCTGCAGTTTTCTCTCTCAAATGCAATGTAACTACCATGCTATGTATTGGGAACTTAAAGGACATTTATTTTAAGGTTTATAAGATTTTGCTGGAGACAACCAAATCAACGCCTGGAGCGAAGGTGGAGAACAACAAATTTTGTTTATCAGTACACTTCAGATGTGTGAACGAGAAGGTAATGAATTATATTGTATTACCTCCCTAAAAAGAAAATTAATCATATTGAATTTCAGCTGTCATTTTCTTATCTCTCAGCCTATTTATATATAAGCTATTTTTGTACTCAGAGATGGAGTGATTTAGCTGAACAAGTTAAGTTAGTGCTGGAGGAGTACCCAAAGCTTAAGCTTACTCTAGGAAGAAAGGTGTAAAATTTATAAATTGAATCAATTTGTTACTATTTTTGTACTTAAAATTCTTCAATTCATCTTGTCTTATAACATGAATTTTACTTGATATCTGCTGCTATTTTGCCTTCAGGTATTAGAGATTCGCCCCACCATCAAATGGGACAAAGGAAAGGCCATGGAGTTCCTGTTGGAGTCTCTTGGTATGTTGTGGTTTTGCTTTAAAGATACATTGCATCAAGTCCTTTTCTCATTTTTGTTTCTTAATCTTCATTTATGTTAAGCAGAGTGTCGTTTTAGGTGTATTGGCTGTTGGTGGCTAAAAGTTTAATATTTTTTTCTATATAGGTTTTGCCAATTGCAAAGATGTGTTCCCTGTTTATATCGGCGATGATCGAACCGATGAAGATGCTTTCAAGGTGTTTTTTTTTTTCTTTTTTGGCGAATATAACTTCAAAGAATTGCTAAATCTTATATTATTTGACTTCGACGCATTCATGCTACTCATTTGAATGAGATACTTCAAGCCAAAAATAAGTCTACTGTTATTCTGCAACATAAGGTTAAAACTTAATGCTTTTATCAATTTCTACTGAATTTCATTATGATTTATTACTATATCACATCAATAGGGTTTTTTCAGATACCATACTATTAAAATCTTATTTTTTTCACAGAATTTGTTTTATTTAAATTTTTCCTTCATGTTTGATACATATTACCTTATGGATTCCTACATCATAATTAAGAATCGTTAAATAGAATGATTCTATGACAATAAATTATTTATTAGATAATTTATTTTCATTCTACATTTTACTATGATTACTGATGATTAATGATCATTAATCAGGAATGTTTCTTATGTGTTGATATTAGGTTCTGAAAGATAGGGGACAAGGGTTTGGCATACTTGTTTCTAAGATCCCAAAGGAAACAAACGCCTCTTATTCTCTTCAAGAGCCTTCTGAGGCAAGTGTTAACTACTATTTACTTCTCCTCTATTAAACTCTCTGATTTGGTTTATTACTTATCAAAGGAGGAAATTTGTACAATTAGGTTGTGGACTGGTTTTTTAATGTATTTAATTCTATTATTTTGTATTGATACTTGACAATATCAATACAGAATAATATAAAGCAAAACGGACTGGAAACTCAGGACTAGCTGACAAAACTTTAATGTGGACTGAGTACTGCTTGTCCAATCTGCGGCTTCTTCCTATGCCTTTTTCTAATGTTTCGTTTGGGACGGCTTTATCACTGTTTCATAAAGCAGCTTTTTAAAGTTGATTTAAGAAACAGAAAGAAAGTCGTCCCAAACGAAATCTAAGAAAACGCCAAGTTGCTTATTTATAATTTTTGAAATTTTATTTGTATAGGTTATGGATTTCCTACAACGGCTAGTGGAGTGGAAGAGATTTTCCCTTCAGTCTTGTCCGAATGTGTAAATTGGATAGATATGTGCCCCACCACCACCACCTCTTGAAAGCTATGGGTGTGGATTTGGAGGGGATGAGTATGTATTTCCTGTTATCGGAAGATAAGAGTACTCTGTACTTTTCTTCGTTTAGCCTCTTGGCCTCTTCTAGGGGCTTTCTTGGGCTTGAAACTAAGCATTGTAAGCTTGCTTTCTTGCCCATCCACATAGAGCTACGTATTTGTAATTAGTTCTGTGTAAAATGGTTAAAGAAGCAATAGTAATCGTTCGTTTTGTTCTTGGCTGCATCCAAAGTACTCATTATTCAATGTTTTTATGTCGGCCAAAACATTTCTGAAAGTCTGCAGCATTCTTAAAATGTTGGTGAAAAAGTGACCGTTGGGAAATAATTTACTCCCATAGTTTTCTTTAAATGTGCAGGAGAGAGAAAGTATGTGAGTTTTTATTATTTAATCCTTTCTGCTTATTTACGCCATGCAAATGCCTGTTATTGCATGAGGCAAATGCCTGTTATTGCATGAGGAACACTTCTTGTCTTAAGCTTGATTGAAGAATGTGGCCTTTTTCGAGTTAGCAGAGAACAAATAGTTGGGATAATAAAGCTGATGATAATGTTCGGTATGGCACTGACGCTGTGATTGAAGATCAATGTGGACTGAAGATTAGTAAATGAAAGGAAGTTTAATCTCTAACAAAACCATATGTTCATCAAAACTGCATATTTTAAGATATCAGAAGTTCGTTAAAATTACAGCAGATGATCATACAGTGCTAAGGGCATCTCTAACTGAAAAAATCATTTTTCACTCCAAAATGTAGTGATTCATCTCTAATGAAACTTCATTTTGCGCACTTCTGCGAAGATTTCTACGAAGGTAAGTTCTTTCTCCTCTTTCGCGTGTTTCTTCCGCAAATCCGGTTGAGATAGAAAAATCGAGTGGGTGAAGGCGTTGCACTGTTCACCCTCCATCGATTAGATTTTTTTTTTGCCTTTCGAAAGGAACAAACCAGCTACGCCTTATAGTCGTTTGGAGTTCAACTAGCGACGCCCTAAACGACTATATTATAATTATTAAAATTGGGCTCCATGATGATTATGATGATACTGACAGGGCATTAGTTCATATGGTAATTGCTGCAATGATAAATTGCAGCAGATTAGTGTTAGGTGGGAGCTTATCATTCATTCTAAATACTTTAAAAGCTATAAGGAGAAGACCAAATCATGCAAGTTAAGTGAAGTATTTGTGTCTCAAGAACAGTTTTGAAACCTATGATTAAGGAAGTACACTTTCACTATTACTCAAAGCATTGAAGTGCAGGTAAAGTACCTGAGGCTCATCAATCATTCAGGTCACATAGCATTTTTAGGTGGTCCTCTAATTCATCCTAACCGACTTTACTTATGGAAAATTTGGAACTTTCTCTTAAAGTACCTTGGGCCCATAATTCTGATGAGCCTTCTTGTCAATGAAAGAAAAGCATGATTGCTCCTTTGTGCAGCTTCACCAAGGATCACTAACAGTTTGAATAGATATTTTCTACACTAAGGAAAAAGGTTATAACAGTTACTATAGGCTAAATAAAGGGTCTAGCTAGCTTGGAGACCCAATATTATTTTTCTAGATTGTCCTGCAAATTTATTGATCTTAAAACAATAGTTGTGTTTAATTTTAACAGAAACATTAAAGAGCTGATTGAAGTAATATGCTCGCTTAATACCATTTTTATTTAAGCTCATTTATTTTTTTTTTAATTTACCTGATTAATGTTGCGGAGCATTATTTGAAGAGCTTAACGGTAATTAAATGAAAAAAGATTATTGAATTAATTAATATATCGCTTATGTATTTATGTTCATGGATATATATTATAACCTTCTTAATATTTATTTTTTTGTTTATTTAATTTCTCCACTCTTCTTCTTGTATAAAAACAATTTCTTTCATGTGCATTTTAAGGAAGAATATGGAGCCATAAATATAACAAATCATTATTTTATTTTTATTCTCTAGTATTTTTATCATATTCATAATTTACAATATTAAAATTATGTTAAATGAATTTCATCTAATGATTTGAATAACCCTGATAATTTCTTGTAAAGTTATTAAGTTTAAACATCAAATTACAACAACAACATCAAGCCTTTATCCCACTACATGGGGTCGGCTACATGAATCCTTTTTCTCCATTGTGTCCTATTAAAAGTTAAATTCTCGTTTAAAACATCAAATTGTAGTTTTGGTGGAATATGAATGTGTTGATTAATTAGGTTGTACTGTGACTTATACCTCAATTATGTTGTTTGAGCCTGTTGGGGGGTTGCATAGGCACCTTCTCTTAGGCTGAATTTTTTTTTGTGGGTACAACCGTATAGTGTTGCGGTGCTATATACGTAAGTGCTACATTTGATTGTAAATAGAGAGGGGAGTGTTGCAGTGCTCTAAAACCAAGTGCTAGCTATCATACTTGAGATAAAGTGTGGAGCGATGTGGTGCTCAAAACCCTAGTGCTATGAGTTGGGCTGGACAATTTTATCTTATTCTTTATATTTAGCTTGAAGGGTTGCGTCTTTTGGGATGGTTTATGAGTGTCATTTTATCATTTATGTGTAGAAAGGTGTGAAGAGTGGAGAGAGACAAGGAGAGAGAGAGAGAGAGAGAGAGAGAGAGAGAGAGAGAGAGAGAGATTTGTATAATTTCTCTCATATTCATAATGAATTTCTTGGTGTGGTGTAGTTCTATGCCTTTTTCCTAATTTCGAGTTTTTCCACGTTAAATATTATTGTTCTTTCTTTTTCGGTACATTTTGTCTTTCTTATTTGATTCCCTGTGTTGTTTTACTTCCCAACATCAATTACATATATTTTTAGTAGACTCAATCAAGCTCAAACACTACAGACTTCAATGCGTTTATTCCAATTTACAAGGATTATTGATTAAAGGCAATTTCAGATTTGATGAATTTGATAAATTTCAGGAGCAATGCATATCTATAATTTTGTTGGGCATTTTAAAAGGAGAAAAACAAATCATATTTGAGGTGGATCATAATTAATTAGAAGATAGCTCACCACAGAAGCCTACTGAACATAGACGTCTCTGGAACTACCATATCCACAAAATACTATTGCTTCTTTTACCAAATGGTATTTTAAAGCCCATTATTTATTTGGTTATTAGGATCCATTCTCATATATTTAGCTAAGAGCCTCTAGCTTTGTTTAGGATAGCTTTCTTCTTGCTTTCTAAATCAGATTTATAGTACAAATTTTTGTACTAAAAAATCGTTTTAAAAAGCAATACAAAAGTTGTCTCAAATGAAGCCTCTATCTTGTTACCACATAGCTGCTTATAATTAGTTTTGCAATGTGTGTTGGTCTATTGGTGATCAAGAGTAATTCACTTATGAGTTTAAAAAATAAGATTCTTCGCTACGGCATGATCTTTTCGGACCACATGGGAGTTATTCTTCAAGTCATCAGAAAGATGGTTCTAGTAAAGTTCAGAGCACTTTTAATATTCAGCTAAACTTACATAGTCCATATTAATAATCATAAACTCCACATGGTAATGTTTCAAACTTACTAACATCCGTTACTCTCTTGTTTCTTTGGAAACCTACTGAAATAGAACATCAATAATTTACTCCAATGGACTCTCTCTCTCTCTCTCTCTCTCTCTCTCTCTCTCTCTCTCTCTCTCTCTCTCTCTCATGCCTCTTTGCTCCCCCTTCTCAGACCTAAATTAACTAATCTTGAAACAGATTATAGCAATTATTTTATTGAATTGGTCCTGGAGATTCCCAGCCCACATAGTTTAAGCAGTGCAACAATTATAGGGCGCACATAGGAAGCATTACATTTGTCATGTGATCTTTCCTAGGAAGAAAGTGCATGTCCAAATATTTATTGACCTCCAATTCTTAGTATCCAAATCACAAATGGATCTCATTTACTCTCTCTTCACATGGGGAAGGATGGAATCTCTCACCATTTTCAGGTCAAAATATCTTTTTTGTATGTTACTATCACTCTCTATTAAACAACAAAGCAATTTCTAATATTGTTGAAGGAGTAAGGGGTAGGTAACTTCATAGTTAGTTCAGGAAAGGGAGAGAGATTACCAGTAGGTGTGAAGAAAGGAATCTATAGTTATGGGAGGAGTCGGATTCCACTAGTACTAGAACTTAATTGAGAAGCCATCTCGAAAGCGGAAGCCCATTGTAATCAGTTCATCAATGGAGATTCACTGAACAAAGCCAATATTATTCAACATTATTGGTGGTACACAGAAGGCCCAACTACTTAATCCTCTGAGTCACCAACTACAATCATTTATTCTTTCATAAATCGCTTTTTTATGGAAAATAAAGCCACCAAACTCAGAACACTTTCCTGTCTTGTAAAAGAAAGCCAACTGTAGCTCAACCAACACTTCCCCTGCAAGGTATTGTGATAATACATGCATTATACATTGATATATTTTCATGATGAACGAATCTTTATGGTACTAAAATTTGAGCGCTTAATTATAATCTGTTCCATCTTCCATGTCATGCACCCATCTGATGTACAGTCACTTCACATGTTGATTTTGGAATCCAGATTCAAAAAGGTAAGGGAAAAGTGCAAGAACACATACTGTGACTAGGAAAGTGCTTATATGTTAATGGCAACACATACTTGGCCATGCATGAATGCTTCTGATGTGGTCCAGTGGCAACACTTGTTGAGTCGAGGAGGAGAGAAGATGATAAACTGGTCACTAGAGATGTAATGAAGCTTTTTTTAAATCTTTCTATAAGCTTAGATTCATTCTTCATGGCTGAATCTGTGAAATATGCTTCTTTTTGCACATGGGATGTACAAAATGGATTGAACATGGAGGGGTGGGCATCATTTGGGGAAGGTAGCTAGCTAGTCATCTTCTTTCTCATGATCATGACATTCTCGGAGTTGGGATTCTGGAGTTACTCTGCATTGAATGTGATTTTAGTGGTCCCGTCTTCTTGTTTAATTTGTGTGGAAGCCGAGCTCAATTTAGTAATGAGCTAGGAGCATATTCCCATGCAGCCTTGAGCTTACTTGTATGTGGATTGTTTCGAGCCTCAAATATGAAGTTAATTACTGTTAAACTTTTATGCTTAATTAGATTGCCCTTTATAAGTTCGGTTAAAAAAATTGATTGAGTTGAGTTTATGGAGCTAGCAAGGGGAGAATGAGGGTGTGAAAGGACTCATGAAATCAAATAATTAATCTGAAAAAGTTTTGATA